TCCGCTGTGATAGAGACAATTCCTGATGTAAACTCTTTAATTACTTTTAGTAGTTCCGCTGTGATAGAAACAATTCCTGGTATAAACTATTTACTTTGAGTAGTTCCGCAATGACAGAGACAATTCCTGGTGTAAACTCTTTATCTATTTTTAGTAGTTCCGCTGTGATAGAGACAATTCCTGATGTAAACTATTTACTTTTAGTAATTCCGCTGTGATAGAAACAATTCCTGATGTAAACTATTTACTTTTAGTAGTTCCTCTGTGATAGAGACAATTCCTGATGTAATCTCTTTATTTTCTTTTAGTAGTTCCGCTGTGATAGAAATAATTCCTGATGTAAACTCATTATTTATTTTTAGTAGTTCCGCTGTGATAGAGACAATTCTTGATATAAACTCTTTATTTACTTTTAGTAGTTCCGCTGTGATAGAGACAATTCCTGATGTAATCTCTTTATTTATTTTTAGTAGTTCTGCTGTGATAGAAACAATTCCTGATGTAATCTCTTTATTTACTTTTAGTAGTTCTGCTGTGATAGAGACAATTCCTGATGTAAACTCTTTATTTACTTTTTAGTAGTCCCTCTGTGATAGAGACAATTCCTGATGTAAACTCGTTATCTACTGGTGCTTTGCCGTTTCATTTCCAATGTCTACTGATCTTAGGCCCTAAAGTAATACCCTAAAGAATGGCCTTGAAGTTCTGTCATATTTGACATCATCAAAAGGGAGTAAACAGAATTTTACGATTTTGCAAATTTCTAGAGTTGCCTTTCTTTTATTAAACTTAAGGTAGGTGAAATGTGTCAATGAAAGATATTTTTTAGAAAGTTTCCAGAAATTTCACTTCATTATTTGTATAAATTTTCTTAGAGTTGTTTTTTACTAGTATGTTCATTTCACCGTGCATTGGACACATGCATCGGACACTTTCCTTTTCGTATATAGAACCCAACTGACAGCTGTTTTTTAAGTAGAAGTAGAAAATAAAAACTCTAGAAAATACAATCAATTGGTATATGACGACCAGAAGTGGACTCAATTTATTTCTACAAACTAGAAGATGATAACTCACGAGAAAAAAGGCGCAAGTTGCCTTATTACTAGCATTATAAAGCCTTTCTAAATTGATGAGATGCAATTAAAATCTCCACATTTGTGGATCGATATAGTCAATCAAACTAAACTAAAAAATTATTTTTTAAATAAAAGATTAAATATTTTCATTTCACTTATTTCAAAGCACCGAGATAAAGGTGTGGCATTTTTCCGGTTCGTTTGTCCGTTGCACGGTGTTTTAAAGAAGTCGTTTTTAATGATATTTTCTCAATAAACAGCATACAAATATGTCACATTAAATCAAATACTAATGTAAAGCTCCATTTTGATAATATTAAGTCGGTAGCGATATCTCTACCTAACTTGTTGAAGTATGAGGGTATCCGATGCATGTTCTATCAGATGTGTGAAAAAGTTCGACTACTTGCACAAAATTGGTAAATAATAATTATAATAACAAGAACTCTGTGAGCCAGTGCTCACTAATAATACCCCCGCTCTGATGTGAATACACAAGTTCAGTTATGGACAGACATAGTAATAATCAGGAAATTGACATCGGATTTGTACAAAAATGAATTCCAACATATAGCATGCCTAAACAAAGAGTGTGTTAAAATTTCACGCATCTGCGATGAGTAGTTGCTGAGAAAAGTGCCACCCAAATTTGTTATTTATGGTACGGACAGATGCACGGATAAACAGGAAGTTGATATCGAATTCATACAAAAATGATTCCCACTATATGGCATGCCTAAACAAAGGGTGTGCTAAAATTTCAAGCATCTGCGATGAGTAGTTGCTGAGAAAACTGCGACCAAAATTTGTTATGTATGGTACGGACAGACGCACGGATAAACAGGAAGTTGATATCAGATTCGTACAAAAATGAATATCACCGTATGGCATGCCTACACAAAGGGTGTGCTAAAATTTCAAGCATCTGCAGTGAGTAGTTGCTGAGAAAACTGCGACCAAAATTTGTTATGTATGCTACGGACAGAGGCACGGATCAACAGGAAGTTGACAACGGATTCATACAAAAATGAATCCCACCATATGGCATGCCTAAACAGAGTGTGCTAAAATTTCAAACATCTGCAATGAGTAGTTGCTGAGAAAACTGCGACCAAAATTTGTTACGGACAGACAGACAGACACACAGACAGACAGACACACAAGGGTAAAACAGTATACCCCCCTCTCCTTCGGAGCGGGGGTATAATAAAAAGTGGAAGAGAAACCGAAAATAACAGGAAGGTCTTTCACTGAAGACGAAGACCTTAACAATAGTGAAAAAGAAACAAGATGTGTTTTTGAAACACTGATGCCCCCGTATGGAGCTCATGGCCAAGATGAAGGTTTTCAAAAGTAGGTCAAATTCCAAGGTCAAGTTGTAAAAAATAATGGTAGCCAAAGAAAGGTCTTGTCACAAGAAATACACATGAATAATACGAAAGGCCTAACACCAACCGAACAGAAAGTATTGCCAAGGTTAAAGTTTTTTTTCAAAAGTATGTCAAATGCCAAGGTCAAAATAATAAGATCAAAAAGAATGATACTCGAAGAAAGGCCTTGTCACAAAAAGTACATATGTGAAATATGAAAGCCCTAACGACAACAGTTTAGAAGTTATGGCCAAGGTTAAAGTTAGTTTAAATTTTTACAAAAAATGCAGGTCAAGGTCATAAGGTTGAATATGTTGGTACACAAAAAAAGTTCTTGTCACAAGAAATACACGTGATATATGAAAGCCCTTGCATCAACGGTTCAGACATTATGTGTAAAGTTTTCCCCCGGGGTGCGGGGAAGTCTGGATGGGCCACATCTTTGCAATAAATGCATATATTTAAAAAAAAAAACTAAAAAAACATATTTAGAATTCGTATTAGACACTCTATAAACCCTATAAATGATTATCGAATAAAATATTGAAAGATTAAAAAAATACATGAAATTTTCGACTTTTTAAATTTCCTTTCGTTTGCGACCGGAACTATCGACGAAGAAAATAAGGGTCATCAGTTCATCTACATATCATCTCTATCATGCCAGTGAGTTTCATCTACAGCCGTTCCTGAAAAAATGAATGGACAAAATTCCTTTAAAAAACAAAATTGTCCCTAATAATGAAGTGAATTTTAAAAAATAAAAAAAAAACACGTCTGGAGCAATTTTTATATGATGTATAATCCCTGTAAAAAAATTCAAATCGAATCACAAATAGCAATGTACTGTGAAAATGGAAAATGACAATAACAGGAAACAAGAAAAACAATAAGGTCTTTCAATAGAAGTCGGAAGACTATTATAATAGAAAACAGAAGAAAAACAATAAGGAATTCAGAAAACCTTAATAATAATAATAATAATAATAATAATAATGATAATAATAATAATAATAAAAAGAAAATAGAAGAAAAGCAATAAGGTTTTCCGAAGGAAATCAGAAGATCTTAATAATAATAATGATGATGATGAACGAAAAGAAGAAAAACAATTAAGACCGCGGAACATTAACTGGCAAAATTGGAAATATGCAGCTTACGTCATTTCCATCTGTTACAATCAAAACATTTAATGATAGACAATGAAATGGGCGGGTACAATTCGGCACGGACGTCACAGAAAACATTGTATTGAAATTCTAGTTTGAAATTCATTTTCAACTCACCTCAGCTACGCTAGAAGGCAATGTCTTACTTATTGATCCAGAAGATAAATAATTTCAATTTCGGAATATTTTGAAGTTTAAATATATAGATCAGAATTTCTGTGCAGTGTTTTTAAAGAAATATAAAGGGACATATATTTTATTTCTGTCAGGTATGTGCATGCATGTGTTGGGGGGAGGGGGCTGAACGATCTTGGAAATAAAAAAGAAAGTTTTTATTTTTTTAGTTTAGACAACCCCTCCCTGTTTTTGATTGTCAAACATTTTTCAGTGAAGAAAAAGCTAAAGAAAATACCTCTTGTCATCCTAGAAATGAATATATTTTGTCGTGTGAAGGCATGATCTGACTCGACAATTTTTACCCCCCCCCCCCCCCCCCGCTTTCTAGAATCAAATAGCCATTACCCTGAAAAAATAATCTCTGTCTGCTATGACTTCTACGTGTCCTTAAAATTATAGGCTAAAAACTCATATAAACAATGATAAATATGAATTTCAAACAACATATATTTGGGAATTGAAATGATTTGTCTTTTGGATAATACATTCACACTCTACGTTTGAAAACAGCTCAGGTGGATTGAAAATGAATTTCAAACTAGAATTTTAATCCAATGTTTTCTGGGACGTCCGTGCCGAATTGTACCCGCCCATTTCATTGTCTGTCATTAAATGTTTTGACTGTAACAGATGGAAAAGACTTAAGCTGTATATTTCCAATTTTGCCAGTTAATGTTCCACGGTCTTAGGTTTTCCAAAGGAAATCAGAAGATCATAATAATAATAAGAAGAAAACAGAGGAAAAACAATTAGGTTTTCCAAAGGAAATCAGAGGATGATATTAAGAAGAAGAAGAAAAAGAAAAGAGAAGAAAAAGAATAAGGTTTTCCGAAGGAAATCAGAAGGTCTTAATAATAATAATAATAATAATAATGTTGTTGATGATGATGATGATGAAAGAAAACAGGAGAAAAACAATTAGGTTTTCCGAAGGAAATCAGAAGATAATAATAAGAAGAAGAAAACAGAAGAAAAAGAATAAGGTTTTCCAAAGGAAATCAGAAGACCTTAATAATAATAATAATAATAATAATAATAACAATGAAAGAAAACAGAAGAAAAACAATTAGGTTTTCCGAAGAAAACTAACTATACAGTAAAGTATCAGGGAGGAAGATTTGCTACAGATAGCATATTATTCAGAGGGGGGGGGGGGGCTTTAGTAAACATTCTGGGGGATGATTCGCTATGCGGAAGGTATGACAACGGAAAGGTGGATGGTGTTTCAGGTGTTTTCGTTCCTTGGAACATTTATTTAGCGGCGTTGAAAAATCAAGTCTTTTGATAACATCTTAAAATTTTCAAGTTTTGAGACGAAAGAGTAGCCGTGATCTTGAAGAAATTTCTCCATATCAGTTTCATTTTTCTCGCTGCAGTAGTCACAAGAAACGGATATAATGTTTATATTTGTTGATTTCAGTGGCATCGTCTTCAAGACACCCAGCTCCAAGCCCCCAACATCTATACTAAGAAAATCTACAGCTTGTAATTTCAAGGCTAGAAGTATTGAATATAACGGGAAACACTGAACGTCATTGTAATCAGATCCATCGGATGAAGTGTTCCACATTATTCTTGAATACAAGCCTCTTCGTTCGAGCTTCATCTAAAACAGAATAAGGGTTTTAAACTTTCTACAGCAAAACCTACCACGATCCAACGTCTACTAATCAAAATATAAACGAGGAATTCACAGCGTAAATTGGGACTTTACAACTACCAGATTCAACTGTTCTGAAAAAAGATCAGCCAGAACGTCGATCGAATTTATACTGTGCAACATGGTGGTTAGAAGTAGGCCAAACGATCTTAAAACTTCGACATTTTCATAAATACAGTGAATATATATGTGCGACAACTGGTTCATGTGTGTGTGTGTGTGTGTTTCAAATTAATCCCCCACAAATGGTATGTGTAACATTTTGCTAAACAAGGGAAAAAGTGGAAAATAAAATCATTTCAGACAGCAGGGTTTGTTTTTACAGACGAAGTTTTTCCAATTACTTTCTCCTGATTCTTTAAATAAATGAATGCACTGATAGTGACTTATTTGATATTGTCAAATTTTTCTCTCGATATAATTAATGTACAGTTGTGTGGGGTAAAATTAACCAATTTATTTCTCAAATATTAAAGCCATATATATTCATATTGACGATCATATCTACTTAATTTTTACCCGAAGCGACAGTTTAGGTTGATATTTTTATTTTCAGAAACCTTTCTCCGTTTATCCACAGTGTACAATTTATCGATGGATTTTATTATTGAAGTACAGTGTATACCTAGAGGTTTTCCCCAATTTATTTTAATAGCATGTGAAAATGGAAGCATCGCTTACCATGACTGGATATGGATAGGGACTGATACAGGCATTAATAGTAAAGGCCATTCTGTGCTTATATTTCAGTCTGCTGTAGCTTATTGGATCGGGTTCGATTAACAATCCCTGCCATTTCCGATATCTCTCAAATAGCAATGATGTTGACTGCAACTCTCCATCAAAAGCACCACATTCGATATAGAAACCTCTTTCCTAGAATAATAATAATAAAGATTAAAATGATTTAATAGAAAAACATTTAATGACCTACAACACATCAGAACATGACACAGGCTAATAAGAATTAATTTCAGTTAGGGCATGGATGTTAAACAAAGCTTTTTTTCTAATGTATAGTATATACTGGTATTAGCATTACTGTGTAAAGTATATACTGGCAACTTCTTCGGCGGCACGACCCCTGTGCCCTCCCCCCTTCCCCAGGTTCCAAGGGGTATATGAGAATCCATCCTTGCTATCAAATGATATGTATGAACAAGGAAAGAAGCATATCAGAGCTAGCAAAGACAGTGACAACGAAGAGAGAAGCATATCAGATCTAGCAAAGATACCGACAACGAAGAGAGAAGCATATCAGATCTAGCAAAGATAGTGACAATGAAGAGAGAAGCATATCAGAACTAGCAAAGACAGTGACAACGAGGAGATAAGCATATCAGACTAGCAAAGACAGTAAGAGCGAAGAGAGAATCATTTCAGAACTAGCAAAGACAACGACCACGAGGAGAGAAGCATATCAGACTAGAAAACACAGTGACAACGAAGAGAGAAGCATATCAGAACTAGCAAAGACAATGACCACGAGGAGAGAAGCATATCAGACTAGCAAAGACAGTGACAACGAGAAAGGACGCATATCAGAACTAGCAAAGACAGTGACAACGAGGAAAGAAGCATACCAGAACTAGCAAAGACAATGACAACGAGGAGAGAAGCATATCAAACTAGCAAATACAGTGACAACGAGGAAAAAAGAATATCAGAACTAGCAAAGAGAGCAACAACACAAAGACAAGCAAAGACAATGAGAGCGAATAGAGAATCATATCAGAGCTAGCAAAGGTAGTGACAACGAGGAAAAAAGCATATCAGAACTAGCAAAGACATTGACAACGAGGAGAGTAGCATATCAGACTAGCAAAGACAGTAAGAGCGAAGAAAGAATCATTTCAGAGCTAGCAAAGACATTGACAACGAGGAGAGAAGCATATCAGAACTAGCAAAAATAGTGACAACGAAGAAGAAAGCATATCAGAGCTAGCAAAGAGAGTGACAATGAAGAGAGAACATATCAGAAGTAACAAAGACAAAGACAACGAGGAGGAAAGCATATCAGAACTAGCAAAGACAGTGACAACGAAGAGAGAAGCATATCAGAACTAGCAAAGACAGTGACAATGAGAAAAGAAGCATATTAGAACTAACAAAGACAGTGACAACGAGGAGAGAAGCATATCTGAGCTAGCAAAGATAGTGAGAACGAGGAGAGAAGCATATCAGACTAGCAAAGACAGTGAGAGCGAAGAGAGAATCATATGAGAGCTAGCAAAGACAATAACAACGAGGAGAAAAGAATACAGAACTAGCAAAGACAGCGACAACGAGGAGAGAAGCATATCAGAACTAGCAAAGACAGTGACAACGAGAAGAGAAGCCAATCAGAGCTAGCAAAGACAGTGACAATAAAGAGAGAAGCATATCAGAGCTAGAAAAGTGGGCGACAACGAGAAGAGAAACATATCAGAACTAGCAAAGACAATGACAACGAAAAAAGAAGCATATCAGAGTAGCAAAGACAGTGACAATTAAAAGAGAGAAGCATATCAGACTAGCAAAGACAGCTACAACAAAGAGGTAGGCATATCAGACTAACAAAGAGAGCGAAAACAAGGAGAAAAGCATATCAGAGCTAGCAAAGACAGTGACAACGAAGAGAGAAGCATATCAGAACTAGCAAAGACAATGATAACGAGGAAAGAAGCATATCAGAACTAGCAAAGACAGTGACAACGAGGAGAGAAGCATATCAGAGCTAGCAAAGGCAGTGACAATGAGGAGGGAAGCATATCAGAACTAGCAAAGACAGTGACAACGAGGAAGGAAGCAAATACGACTAGCAAAGACAGTGACGAAGAGGAGACAAGCATATCAGAACTAGCAAAGACAGTGACAACGGAGTGAAAAGCTTATCAGAACTAGCAAAGACAATGACAACGAGGAGAGAAGCATACAGAACTAGCAAAGACAGTGACAACGAGGAGAGAAGCATATCAGAACTAGCAAAGACAGTGACAACGAGGAGAGAAGCATATCAGAGCTAGCAAAGACAGTGACAATGAAGAGAGAAGCATATCAGAGCTTGCAAAGACAGTGACAACGAGGAGAGAAGCATATCAGAACTAGAAAAGACAGTGACGAGGCCAGAAGCATATCAGAACTATCAAAGACAATAACAATGAGGAGAGAAGCATATCAGACTTGCAAAGACAGTGACAACGAGGAAGAAAGCAGAGCTAGCAAAGAGAGTGACAATGAAGAGAGAACATATCAGAACTAACAAAGACAAAGACAACGAGGAGGAAAGCATATCAGAACTAGCAAAGACAGTGACAACGAAGAGAGAAGCATATCAGAGCTAGAAAAGACAGTGTCAAGGAAGAAAATACATGGTGATACGATAACAAAAACCGAATAGTTCAAGCCTATAATTTACAAATACGAAGGAAAGGCATTCCTTGTGCTTAAATAGTGTCCATATTCATGCACAGGCATCTGTTGCACTTAACTAAATCACGGGTTCTTTCTTACGAAAAAAACGAACTGTATACATAATCAATACCTTGTTCTCCAACAAAGAGTCTACAAGAGACGACTGCCCTGATGAATAGTCAATTTTGTTGTCGTAGAACTTGTACTGCAGAGGAGAGGGATTATATATCCAGTAATTCCTGATTAGACTGACCAGACGGACGTCGTCCATTTTGATTTTCTTGTCATTCATTTTCATTGTCGCCGCTCTGAAATTGTATCCAGAAGTTCTGTTCTGTTTTATTGTCATCGGCTTAAACATTTTAGGTTCGTAACAAGCATTCGCTCTTAAGTCGTCCTTGTTGAGTTCCCTGGATTTATGAAAGATTTCCTGAACTGATTTAATTTTAGTATTTTGAGATTCTCTCATGTTCTTTTCACAACTAACGAGAACTTTCAGACCAAAGAGTAGTGAAATTAGAAAAATGGCGCCCAGGAAAGTTACGGTTAAGATGATGTTTGTTGGATTCATTTTACCTCCATACGTCTGCAAATGAGTTTTATTTTATTATATCCACTGATTTTTAAGAATATAACAGCTTATTGAGATATTTTTCTGATAAAATTCAAACATTTTTAATTAAAATTTAACTTCAATTTAAAAAACATAATTTCAAGTAGAAAAAAGAAAAGAAGAAAATGATGAATACAATTATGCATTTCGTAAAGAAATCAATTTGAATTTAAAATCTTTCTTACTATCACAAGGCAGTTGGTATCTAAGGTGTAAATCCAATGTAATGCAAAAGCACCTTCGTTGATAATCGATCTATAACCCATCGAGTGCAGAAGTGTTGCTTTTGTTCATTGTATTTATGTTGCATTCTGAAACAGATGTTGGCTAAGACATGAAGATAAAGATTTCGCAGTAAAAAAAAAATCAATATAAAATCAAATGACCTTAACTCTCACTCTCTGTGCATTTTTTTTTTTTTTTTTTTTTTTTTTTTTTTTTGTAAATTTATTGTTATTTTTAGAATTTTAGTTATTGTAAAAAAAAAAGAAAGAAAGAAAAAGAAACCTTGATCAGATGTTGTTTGCATTAACAGTAAACATCACACTTTTTGACATAAGTATAAGCTACAGAAACAAAACAGGCTTTCTATTGTCACTAATTTATACATCGAAAAAAAGTTAATGTACGAGATTTATTTACCATTGATTTAAAGTGCATATTAATTCAGTTTACAAGGTAGAGAAATTTGGGAAACGATATGATCTTAATTGTCCATGTTATATACAAAAAATGAGGATCACTTGCATATTCCTATTTATATATCTTCACCGCAGGGTGCGGTGGAAAATTTAAGGGGAAAAAAACGTGAATCAAAACGACTTGAGAATGTTTGCAAATTAATGTGATTTAGTGTGGTTTTCCTACTCCTGAAAAGATATTTTAAGAAAAAAATTCCATATACCCGGTATTCTGATGGAGGTTTTTAATCCCTCATTTAATCCCATCTAGCCCCAGTAGCCATGTCTTGATATGTCCCTTTTTTGTGTCGCCATCTTACCTATGATTTGAAACAAAAAAAAGGATGAATGTTTAAATCTGGAAAAATAAACAAATTAAAACACGAATAAATATACTACTATTCTGAAAAATAGATATTAATTTCATTTTTTTTTTTTTTTTTGGATTTGGAATACCTCACTCCAGGGCAAATGTTTCCATAGCGAAAAAAAGTTAGGACTGGGACGTTATAGAAGAGTGAGAGGAACAACGGTTGTAGCTTTTGATATTTTGTAGAAAAAATGATTGATTGATTGATTGGTTGCTGCTTAACGTCCCATTCGAGAATATTTCACCCAGATATTTTCAAGCAGACCTATCTGCTTTTAGGCAAAGAGTCACAAGTTTTGATCTATGCAAGCCGCTTACGGCCGTAGCAGTGAGGAGTCTTTATTGTGTCAACGCCTAACTTGTTTTTAACGTCTCATCCGAAAGACCCGTGACTTTCACTCGTAGTACCGGGCGTTTGGCGAAGGAACAGTCACTACCTATGTTGTTGAACGTCTTAGGTTTGACGCGATGCCGGGAACGAGAATCGAACCGGACTTCCCAATCATGAAGCGAAAAAACAGCCCCAGGCAATCTGAAAACGGTTTCACTTCGTAGAATAGAAAATTAAAGGGCATAACATGCAAAGATAAAGCCACAATTATAAAATGAAAACATAAACATATTAAGAAAATGTTTAAATATTTTGAATTTGGAATTGGAATTTTTCAGTAAAGGACTTATATTGTTATTTTCATAGATGGGAGGGACAAAGATCTTACTGGGACGTTATGAAGAAATATTTAATGCTTCAAATGTACCTGTGAATCTACTGTATTTAAAATAATGAAAAATAATCAACTGCAATTAAAACATAAACTCCTGCAACTTTAATAACGGGTTCACTTAAAGAAAAATAAAACAATATTTTTATGCACAGAATACGCCAGTTTACCAGTTACCAGTTTATTAGTATCTCTTTGGTTGTTATTTAACAACATAGAGATCAAAGCAACATATTACAATTATAACAACATACATGCGTGAGCAAAACATGTAACATATATACAAAATGTGTTTATAATTGCATCATATTTCTATATATATATATATATAGATGTTATTAACCAGGAGGTTTGACTCTCTCTTTTACAATTTTTATAAACGAACAAAGTTTACTTAATAGCTTAACATTTTTGGAAGAGAACAATTCATTAAACTTGATAACATTTGGTCTTGTAACATAATATTTGGGAATATACAATTTTCTTTCATCTTTTAACTTGTTACAGCATAAAATATAGTGAAATTCGTCGCCTACATCATTTTCACATAAAAGACATATTCTATTATCTCTTTCAGTACCTTCCCATCTTCCCGTTTCAATCGGTAGTTTATGATTTGATGTTCTGAATCTAGCTAAAATTTGTTTCTTATGATTACTTAAGACGCTATCTACATAAAATTGGCATCCAAATTTTGAATTTGTAAATAGATTATATATCACACCTTTTGAAGAATTATTGCAGTTTGATTCCCAATTTTGTTGAAACTGATCTAGTAATTTTTGTTTCAAACTTTTAATTAGCCAAGTACTATTGAATAATTGGTTCTGATTCCATATATTACTGTATCCACAATCGTCTAAAATTGATTTCAAATTCTTTAACCATTTACATTCATTTCCATTGTCAAATTTAGCACGAAGTAATTTGTACATTAAGTACCAGTCCATATAAAAATCAGACAAAATGTGTATAAAAGTGATACATGAAGGTTCTCAGAATTTGATGATTTTCCACACAGATTTCTCTTGCACTATGATCCATGTATGTAAAATAAAAAATGTTTTAGTTCATGGTTACTATGGAAACCTGGCCAAAGAAATTTCCCTAGCAACCGGCCAATTTTTCCATGTGGTAGGACAAAAAGTCACCCATCTTTTAAGACTTGAAATGAAATGTAAATATGAATAAAATTATTCCTCTTCACTAGCATAAAAAAGATACACATTTTAAGTGTTTTAACAACCCAACACGAAGATATCAGATTTAAAGTTAGTTCTGTAATAGACATTGGAAGATGTACATGTTTTGCATTTTTTGCTGATTCAGCATTTTTCTTGATTTTGGCAGTATTCAAGGTCAAATTAAAATTTGCATCTAAAAATTTCAACTTTAGCATGTATTTCACATAAAAGTAGAGGAATGTCTCTGATGAAATCCGAATTCAATCACGTGGGTTTTTTGAAAATAAGTGTTCGTTGCCTAGCAACAATAATGGATGTTTTGATAAATAAAAAGTGCAGTGTTACATAGCAAAATTGTATAAATTGTTATATTAGAGTACTAGAAACAAATTTTAAAGTGATAGAACATAAATCAGACTTCTTAGCAAATTAAAGACTATTGTACAGTTATTTATCTCCATGGCAACAGCAAATTCCCCATAGCAACAAGGCCGCAAAGCTTAATTTTGGCAGATATTCATATACAGTGGTAAGAAATGTTTCAAATTTAGTCCTAAAATTGCAGTTTAGCAAAATTAAAAATGTATTACGGACCTCATAAAAGTATTTTTGTTACATAAATTTCCCATGGAAACGATTTTGAGAACATAACAACCACTTGATTTCACTGAGTGTTTGAAAGATTCATTCTCTGCAATTACTTTGACCTTTATATATGAGCAGGAGAATACATAGTCACAGAATTTCTTCAAACATGTATATGCTATCAAAGAATTTGAAACCATTAACTCACATAAGGCAAATATTTGTTGCTATGTAACATGGTTACCATGGCAACGTGCCCTAAATTTTGAAGAAAAAAAAACAAACATGTATGAACATGTTCAGAGTCCCATTATTAATGTTTACAGCAATTCAGAAAAGTGACAATGACTGTGTATAAAAGTCAAAAACTAACTGTCTTGTATGCAAATTGACAGTGTAATTTTGGATACCTTCAATTCATATGAGGCAAAGATGTGTTGCTATGTTACATGGTTACCATGGCAACATGCTCTAAAGTTTGAAAAATAACATTTATGAACATGTTTAGAGTCCCATTATTAATGTTTACAGCAATTCAGAAAAGTGGCAATGACTGTGTCCATAAGTAAAAAAAAAAACTTGCTGTCTTGTTACCTTGGACACAAAGTATAAAAAGCAATAATTTCTTAATATTTCTTTGTTTGGTTTAACATTCAAAAATAAAAGCAATTATGATTAGGATATTTCAACAAAAATAAGAAGAAAGATTTGATCGACAAGGGTTGCTTTGGAAATAATATTGAAAAGTAATTTCTAATTAACTCTCTGCAAGTTTTTAATCTGTTGATATTTTTTCAATAAGATTAAATTCTAAACAAGTGGAATGCAAATTTATAGGCAATGGTGTGGTCAAAATATCCACATTTTAAAAAGTTCGGAACTTACTCTAAATATAGAGCGTTGCTATGTATTACATGTAATACATGTATCATGGAAAATATATGGGGAAAAATGTATAAAAAGTCTTTAAAAAATTAAATATTTAGTTGTTTTTTTTTATTTTAAATTAATATACATATATAAAGTATTAACAATAACCCTGGCTTTCAGTTCTGGCCCTACACAATCTTTAACTGAAGCTAATAATAACTAATAAACTACATGTATAACATACGGTACAATACTACTAAGATACATGTATTTAGGAAAATTTAACATTTTTTCTTTTCGGTATCATAACCAAAATAGGACCTATTTTTGTGCTCTTTGCGTTAATAGGGTCTAAAAGATTTAATTTCGTTGATTCGATTCTCCATATCTAATCACTTGATGGATTTTTTGTTATTAAAATGAAACCTATGCAACAAATTGTGTGCCACTTTGCTGTTTTACCGTTCGTAGATTCTATTCTCCACATCTTATCACTAGATGGGATTTTTTTTATTAAAATTAAACCTAAGCAACATTGCTGTGTTAT